AGTTTTCTTCCACCTTTTCAAAATATATTTATCGGGCATATATTCAGTCTGGTCCCTTCTGAACAATGCTAGGATGTGCTTGCAAATAATCCCAACAAATTCAAATTTTTTGCAGCTACACGATGCGTGGTCAGAATCTTTGACATATACGACTTCTGCCACTCTTGTTTGCCAATTTTTCCTTTCGCTCACATTAAAGACAACTTTTGAAGCATCCTCTGTTTTGAGCTCTAGGAAACATGCTGTCCTTTGTATTAGTTCTTTCTCAAACTTTTGAAACATTGCCCTTGTGTACAAGGTAGCCATTTGTTTGTTCATTGGCATTGGTAGAATACATTGAGCCACTTCAAATGCATCTACGTGATCAGCAGCTAACTCTTTTTGACGTTGATGGGAAAGTGCCCTCTCAAATCGTATTATGAAATCCATCAACGAATTTCTCCTTGATATGTATTGCTTGAAGAAAGCATGAGAACCTTCCGCTCTTTGGCTGCTTGACATTCCAGCGGCAAAAAAGTCTTGTGCGTAGGCTGGAACCCAAGATTCCCTTAAATCAAACATTGAACTTAGCCATTGATGGTCAGTGAAACCAGCCTTTGTAACCACAATATTCCACTTTGCATCAAACTCATCCTTATTGTCAGTATCCCATATGGCTTTCTGAAATTCACGCCAATACTCCTTATAAGCAGAATGTGGTAACTTAACATGGAACTTTGATGTGATGTGCCATATGCAAAGCCGATGAAATGTAGTCGGGAAGGCTATTGAAATCGCTCTGGTGATGGCCGCATCTTGATCTGTAATAATCGTTTTAGGTTCGCCACCTTGCATGGCTTTCTTAAACTCCTCAAACATCCAAATAAACGACTCAGTCGTTTCCTTGCTCAAAAATGTGCATGCTAAGACAATTTTCTGACCATGGTTATTAACTCCCAATATTGGTGCAAATGTCAAGTCGTATCGATTCGTGTTGAATGTGGTATCGAATACAACAACATCTCCATACAACCGGTATGCCCGTCTAGAAGTTGCATCTGCCCAAAAACATCGACTAAACTTGTCTTCGCCATCTCCCTCAATCTTGAAATAAAAAGCCTCATTTTTTTTCTGTTCAGCCATAAAATACTCGGTCACTAGTTCAACATCGTGGTTCCTCAACTTCCCATTCACACTACATTCAAGATTGTATATATCCTTTTTGATAAAACCGATTTTATCCATTCCTCCGGATTGCACCTCGAAAATACTTACCTTTTGATGAATGGGGATGTTAACCGAACCCAACTGTTTTGTAAGTACTTTTGTAGAATCCGAAATACGACGGTGTGATCTCAATAAATGCACTCTTTCTGAGTCTGTCATCTTATGATTGTGTCCCTCTGCAAAAAGAGAGATGGCATACTTCTTGCTCCCATTTGTCTTCACAACCACAATCTTAGCTTTGCAATTGCATCTACTTATTCCCCGCTGTCTTTTTCTCTCCCGAGTTTCATCTTTCCTGTATGCACCTTGTTTGCAACAAACAAATTCTTTCCTCAGAATCTCTTTCTTATATGTCCCCCGAAAGCTGGAATGAAGTCGAATACCAAAGCCAGCCAAGAATGCATATCTGTTATAGAAATTATAAGCGAGGTCAAGCGAGTCGAACTTCATCCCAACCGTTGGTGTTTCCTCATTTCTTACTTCAGGAATGTAAACCATCCCATTAGCTGTTACACAGTCATCACTCTCTGAGCCCCCAGACATTTTACCCACATATATTTTTGAACTACTTTTATATCACTGCATAGCAAATATTAATTCATTAATCAATCATTACTGTATTACAACATATCAATGCATTCCACTTACACAAAACATTGCCCAAATTGACACAAAAAAGACGCATAGCCTAGCTTGTTTGTAAGAGCCATTATTACACAAAATTTAATAATAGTTACGTCATCTCTTGTGCAACAATCTGGAAAAAATAACATTATAACCAACATGTTCAACTAAGAACGCAAATGTAATTCAAACCAGCAATTACAGAACTTCTCCCAATATCCTCTCCAAATGCTTACTCCTAATGCCATTAAGCCTAAGTTTAGGATCTTTTACCTACATTTTATAATTTCCCACCCCCACCAAAAACAATCAACTAAATATATTGAATATTCATAAGGAAATGACGCATTATTGACAGCAAACTGACGCATTATTGACGGTAGAATAACACATTATTGACCGCAGAAATGACGCATTATTGATGCCACAAATGACGAATTTCTCACCCTCACAAAAAACAAACCAAACCCAATAAAATCAATCCAGCAACAGTAAACTTACCTCTCAAACTCAAGCGGGAGCTCCGAAGTCAATCAGCTTAAGAGAATGTGGTGGACATTAGAGAAGACTCTTTGGTAGTGGAGACTCCATCTCTACCACAATCGAGGAACAAATGCTGCTGCGGCGTCTAGCTACAGAACCAGATATGCTACTTTGCTTTCATCTGGAATCTCGTGTGCTGAACGAAAAAGAGAAGGGGTTTTCACTTCAGCCATAGAATCAAAACAGGGCAATAGCTAGATAAGAGCCATTAATCGTCATACCGAGGATGCCATAGATCGCAGGCCTCCCAAGGAGCTGATGACAATGGAGCGACTATAGGGTTTGGGAGCTTTGGATCTTTCTAATTCTGGGTTTGCGTTACATTCAAAAACAGAGGATTGTGTTCTTGAATTTTTCAGAGAGGGAAATATCTTCAACTGAAGTTGGGTTTCCAACGGGTCAGATTTCAACCCGGTTCTACATGCACCCTCTTATAAAAATTCACCGTTGGATGAAATCCAATGGCTCTAACATACCCCTCAAAAAAACCCCTTATAACTTTCCCCTCACTATAGAAGCTCCCCAAAAAATCCCAAGTTTTCGGGCTCAATTGATGCGTTTAGAAAGATCCTGGCCCAAAGGCCTCAACAAGGGATTTGGACCAGCTATGGCTAGAAGCGTTCCAGTCAAGGCAGCATGCTTCTTGGCATACGCGGTTACAAGGTCTAGTTTGGGATGATAATTTGGGGCTTCTTGGTGGTTTTGAATTTAGTAATTTCAGTCATCTTCATTTTCTGACGTAGAAGCCAATTTTCTCTACATTGAACTTGTGGTTCGGTACTAGGATCCTCCACACTTTGTAATAACAGCTCTGTTGCCGGAGGAAACATTCTTTTACCAATCATATTGCGTTCACCCTTTTTTTTTTTTGCATCTCGTTTTTTCTCAAAACTCTTGCGGATGGTTTGCATCTGATGGATGTGAGATGCCAACCATATTGCTGTCTCTCTGTTTAATTATTTATTGGGGTGGGCGATGGGATGGAGGAAAATGATTACGAAGATAAATAATAGAGTGATCAATCAATTTAAGCTTTAGATAATTACCACAACAATTTACAATATAAAAGTAGACAGTTTACTAATAATAGCACCGATACCTATTGAGATGAAACCCCACAATTGAATAGGTCTATTTGGCCTAATCCATCGTGTGTGATCCAGGTGATTAACTTGGGGATAATAATACTAGACCATATTTATAGATCACTTTGTGTACCACCTTTGTAACATTTCTCTAGTCGAAATCTAGGACTGTCTGATCTTCTCCTATATTATAAACACGTGGCATGATCCTATAAATTCTGGTCCCACAATCTCTCCATGAGTTTTATGTTTGGATATAGATTCCACCAATCGACTATAAGAATACAATAAGAAGAAAAGTTTGCCTTCCGATATGTCTCTTGTCTTTGTCAATTTTATTATAAGCGTGCTTTTTTTGTTTCTTTCTTTTTGCCATCTAATGTGTTTGTCGTGACTCGTGTGGAATCATGAGATTCCCACTATGTTGATAATCTATTGAACATGAACTGAGACTTTTGAGCATCATTTGCCAAATCAATCGTGAATAAATGAGCTCTACGATGAAGCCTCATGCAGTTTGTATCCCTCTTCCAGCTCAAGGCCACATAAACCCAATGCTCAAACTTGCAAAGCTTCTCCATTTCAAAGGATTCTATATAACCTTTGTCCACACAGAGTTCAACTACAATCGCTTACTTCAATCTAGAGGCTCAGATGCTATCAACGGCACAGAGGATTTCCAGTTCGAAACTATATCCGATGGCTTGCCACCGAAGAACCAACGAGGAATACTTGACCTCCCGGAGTTGTGCAGAGCCATGCCAGTTGAGGGCCAGCGTTCATTCAGAGACCTCATCAAAAAACTCAACAAGGCTTCGTCGTGGTCGGATGTGCCAGCTGTAGGTTGTATTATTTCTGATGGAGTAATGGGCTTTACCTTTCAAGTTGCTCAAGAATTTGGCATCCCAGAGATGCTTCTATTTACACCTAGTGGTTGTGGTATGTTGGGGTATCTACACTATGCAGATCTACTAGAAAGAGGGTATTTTCCATTGAAAGGTATCTTTCTAGCTAACTAGTATATGGTCATTCCTAACATGAACACCTTTTTATTCAAGCAAACAAGTAGTCTCTATGATATAACTTTACTTTTTCATGCACTATAATTTGAGTTTGATCTTTCGAAAATGTTCTCCTGCCAAATTGTATGACAACGTAAGATACTTATATTGTAAATCTGAACCATGTTTAGCGACATGAACATCCAAACTAAATCATTGTTCATGTTGATTGTTCTATAAGAACATAAATAATTACGCTTTATCTCTATTTTATGAATAACAAAATCACATTTTTTATATATCATTTTGCAATTTCAACTTTGACTTTGATTTTGGAAATGCACAAATGAGAGGTAGAATGCTTTGATTATGTGCAGATGATAGCGACTTAAGTACTGGGTTTCTTGATACTGTGATTGATTGGATACCGGCAATGGAAGGAATTCGATTGAAAGATCTCCCCACCTTCCTCCGAACAACGAATCGAGACGATACAATGTTCAACTACAACATACAAGCAGTAGAGATTGCCATGAAAGCTCAAGGTGTGATCCTCAACACATTTGATGAATTGGAGAAAGAATTCGTGGATGTGATCACAACAAAGTTCCCCCAGCTCTACACCATTGGTCCACTATCACTCCTTCAACACAATATGTCCACAACACATTACTTGGACTCAATTGATTCAAATTTGTGGAAGGAAGACAAGAAATGCTTGGACTGGTTAGATAAGAGAGAGCCTCAATCAGTGGTGTATGTCAACTATGGAAGCCTAGTAATAATGACTAAAGAACAATTGGCTGAGTTTGCTTGGGGGCTTGCCAATAGCAAATATCCATTTTTGTGGGTCATTAGGCCAAATCTTGTAGATGGTGGAGAAGAGATTTTATCAAATGAAGATTTCATGGAGGAGACAAAGAAAAGAGGCTTGTTTTTGGAATGGGGTCCACAAGAGGAAGTTCTTAAGCATCCTTCAATTGGAGGTTTTTTAACACATTGTGGTTGGAATTCAACTTTGGAAAGCATTTGTGAGGGAGTGCCATTAATTTGTTGGCCTTTTTTTGCAGAGCAACAAACCAACTGCTTTTATTTATGTAATAAGTGGGGGTTTGGGATGGAGATTGACACAAAAGTGAAGAGAGAGAAGGTGGAGAGGCTTGTGAGAGAGTTGATGGAGGGTGAGAAAGGGAAGGAGATGAGGGAAAAGGCTATGGAATGGAAGAAGAAGGCAGAAGCAGCTACAAGAACTGGTGGATCTTCTTACACTAACTTTGATATGTTGGTTAAGCAGCTCAAACAAGAGCCCATTGGCTTGGAGAACTTGTCATAGAGTTATTGGGGGTATGTAGTTTTTATTTTATTTACATAAAAAAAATTGTCATTTTGCAAGAGACTTGTAGCTCAAGTGATTAAGAGCATTTTTATCCATGCTCCCGAAATTTCATGATTGATATTCCCTCCCCAATATCACTTGTATAAAATAAAAAATATATATTATCTTCGTCATCCATTCAACATGTCATTAGGCGACCAAATTGTCAACCATACTTGTACAATTTAAGAAATGGCCCCAACAATTGATGCAAAGTGGTATCATCTCAACGAGAAGGGTGTACCCCGTTAGACTGCTGATGTCAACCAAAACTAGTGCAATGTCAATTCACGTGCCATCATGACAAAAATGTACAATTTAATAAGTGGCACCAACAATTGGTGCAAAGTGCTATCATCTCAACAAGAAATGTGTACCCCATTAGACTGTTGATGTCAACCAAAACTAGTGCAATGTCAATTCACGTGCCATCATGACAAAAATTCATGATTCCTTAAGGATTCCTTAAGGAAAACCCATACTCAAAAGGAGTAGTTTTTTCATTTCTTTATTTCTTAATTATTTATATTTTATATTTTTAACAAAAGCCATATTGCGAGGTTCTTTGAATACAGGGAGTGCTAGGTCCTGGCTTAAAGAAGCTCATGATATTATTACTGATGTTCTTTAGAAGGTTGGTAACCCTTAGTTTTAAAGGACGGAAACATATACGGTGGGGTGGGGGCACTACAAAAAAAATGGTAACAGTTACCATTTTGTTATCAAATTTGGTGACTGTTGTAGGGGTTACTAAAGGCTTTAGTCACCTTTTTTGACTTTTTTGGTGACTAAAAAGGCTTTCAGTCACATTTTTTGCTTTTTTTAGTGACTAAAGCCTTTAATAACCCCCACAATAGTCACCAAATTTGATGACAAAATGGTAACTGTTGCCACATTTTTTTTGTAGTGGGGGTACTCTATCAAGAGTTGGGGTTTCTTCTAACTGCTTTTGGTGGGAGGGGTAGGGTACTTGGCTAGTCTAATGACCACATTATATGTGTGGATCGTCTATTTATTCAAATGAGGATGAAAATTACCAACTAGTCATTTGTTTAGTGACAGTTGTCTCTACTTATTTGGAGGAGGTCACCATGTTGTTCAACTCACATAAATGTGATGACGAAATATATTTGTGATGAGTTTGATGGTTAATTGTGGTGAGCACATTGTAGTGATGTAACTTTGTTTTGAATGTATAAATATTCTATTATGTGGCAAGCCCATCCAAAACAAAGTTATGTCAACACAATGTGCTCGCCACCAATAAACAAGTATCATACATCAATAAACAAAAACAAAAGCACCCGTCTATAAAATATTTGATGCATGTCGACCATCTCGTTAATTTATTCCTAGCAATAAACGAGGTGATCATCTTATGAAGAGGCGAAAGAATATACTAATAATTGTTCATAATATATATATACACTAAGGACTCGTTTGTGAGTGATTTTGAATAGGCCAAAAAACACTTTTATGGAGAATCACTTCTCCATATAATCACTTTAAGTGGTTTTAAGTGATTTTATGAAGAAACACATGAGAGGTGCTTCTCCTTAGAATCACTTAAAATCACTTAAAGTGATTATATGAAGAAGCACATAGGAGGTACTTCTCCCCGGAAGTGATTCTAGATTCCAGAATCACTCCCAAACAAACCCTAATTATTGCGCTCGTAACCAAGAATCATTGATATAGCTTTCCACCTGAATCCTAATCCATACCTGTCAAAGAATCATAGATGATATGAACTTAAGCTATAGGCTATATGTGTTAAAGAATATGTTGTCTTCCAAAAAGAATTCATCTTATTTCAAAATACATTTTTTCTTATGTTTTGAAAGGACACATCTAATATATATTATAGGTTTGGGTTAAAATAGTTTTTTTTTTTTTTAAGAACAAAGAATTGTATTTACACTTCAAATTTGGAGTGCCAATAATAGTACAAAAAACATGTCAAAGAATTAATCGTTAAAAATACGTGCAATTCTAACAATTATATACATCACATATTTATGCATTTTCCGTTTTTGTCAATGAAGAACTTTCTTAGCCTCACATATTTAGGCTAAGAAAATTCATACCATTTTTTCCTCATGGAATGTGTTTCTTTTTAACACAATGTGCAGAATGATTTTCTATACATGTTTTGAAATTTGGATGGATTTTACATTGGCTAGCAATCTTTATCAGACAATAAATATCTTTTTGAGGTAACTTTTCCAGTAATGTAAGTATGAATTCATTTCATCGGTCGAAGAATATGGTGGAAGAAAATCATGAGAGAGAAATGAAGGAGAAGGAAAACGATCATCTTCTGCTTGCATTACACCTTGGATAAGAATTATCTATCCAAGTATTATTACCATCTGTACTCTCCATTGATTTTCCTCCATGTTGGTCTTTTGAACATTTTTTTTTGTTTTGTTTCAATGTTAACTATATATACAATAAGACTTTTGGTATATATCCTTTTGCATACTTCAATCGTTCAGCAAAGTTTCTTTAAAAAAATAAACCAAAGTTTTAAAAATATATATATATATA